AAGTTTGTTCTGTACATATGAGAACGTCCACCTGAAGCCTGCTAATGCTAAACAGCTGGATATGGCCAAGAAACAGCTTATAGATTCTCTGTGCCAGCGCCTCACTGAAAGACTTGGGGATGTAAACAGTGGTGTCCTGAAGGCTATGCGACTGATCAGTTTCCAATGCTAGCCAGATGCAGACATGAGTGCAGGTTAGTAATTAAATCTATAAACTTTAACCAATACCTTTTAATAGGGAAGATAGCTTGACAGTATAATAGACAACAACATATTTTATAAATATTATGTATTTTAGACTTTGGTGACACTGACGTGGAAGAGCTCACACATCATTTCAAGCCTCTTCTCCTCAAAGGAGTCCTCACCCCTGCACCAGCAATGCAACCATAGACCGGAGCATAGAACGGAGGCCTCAGCAGGAAATAGGAAGCCTAACTATGTTCCAAGAAGACTCAATAGAATCTATAATTTAGAGCCAACTGGCCCACAAAGCTCTACAGAGTAGAGGCCTAAATTCAACATCTCTCAATGAGAGGTGGCCTAGCAGCACTCCATACTACCTAGCCAATACCTAGCCGAGCTCTAGGAGCGGAGGCCTCAGCATGACGACTCTCTAAAATGAGTGGAGGCCTAACGACGCCTCACGCTCAGGACCTACTATAAGGAGGCTCACAGAGAACTTACAACTCACAGATGCTGTCCTAGCGGAGCTCTGACGAGTGGAGGCCTCAAAGAAATAACTCTCTGTAGCGAGAGGAGGCCTGACGACACTCGCAGTAGATGATCGAGCTCTAGGAGCTGGGGCCTCAGCATGACGACTCACTAAAACTAGAGGAGGCCTAAATACAGCCCAAGATCAGGACATCCTGTAAGAAGGCTCACAGAGAACCTACAACTCACAGACGCTGTCCTAGCGGAGCTTTGGCGAGCGGAGGACTCAATAAATTAACTCTGTATAGTGAAAAGAAGCGTGACGACACTCGCAGTAGCCAAGGAGGCTCAAATAGAGCCTAACAACTTTGCAAGCTGCCTAGCCAAGCTCTAGGAGCGAAGGTCTCAGCATAACAACTATCTAAATTGAGAGGAGACCTAACTACGCCCCATACTCAGGATGTCTTGCAGAGCAAAGGCAATAACTAAGGAGACTCACAGAGAGCCTACTACTAAGTAAACTGTCCAAAATAGATGACACATTCACAACCAGCCTCTAATGCCAAACCATTATTAAGGCAGATGATGGAAAGAAACATGCTGCCAAAAACATCATAGGTCCAGCTTCAGGCCCAGATGTAAAAGCGCGTCATAGCCTTCACACAACCTCAGTCAGGGGATGGTGGGGGGAGGGAGGAAGGAAGCAGATGTTAATTAGCCTCTGGTATGATTACTCTGGATCACTTCCCTGAGATATGTCCTTCTCCCTCTAGCTTTGCGCTCTGTGCTCTACCCCTTGAAGGAGCGGGAGCGCGAGAAGCAGTGCTTGCCTTCTGGTCTCGCCTCCAGTCCTCAGACTGGGACGGGCCAGCCCCCTTCATGGCTTGAGGGTTGGACCTGGACCGGCATGGTATTTTAATTTTATTTTAGGTTTTAAAAGCTGCGGAGCGTGCCTTCGCCTCCGGAAACTTCCCAACTACCGTCTCAGCGGATGTGCCGAAATGCTCGGAAGGCAAAACCGGTGCATCAAGGAGAAAGTGTTTCTCCTTCTCCCTGATGTCTGCCAGGTTTACCCAAATATGTCTCTCCATAGCCACCATGGCCACCATGGATTGACCGATCGCTGCGGCAGTTTGTTTTGTGGCACAGAGAGCCAAATCTGTGGTACGGCGCAGCTCCTCCACCGCCTCTGGGGGGAGTCCCTGGCCCTAGTCCAGGTCCTTCAGCAGGTCAGCCTGGTAGGCCTGCAGCACGACCAGCCTGACCCGCTGCCACATATACTCTGCCATTCAGCCGTAATGTAATTCAGCTTAGTCAGCAGAGACGGCATCTTCAATGCGGATGCCTCACCAACCGAGAGATAGTTATCCAGTGTTTCTTCAAGGAGGTCGATCATATTATATGAATATTGTGTGTATGTGTGAAAAACCGTGCAATATACAATCGTTTATGCCCTTGAAAAATGCGATATCGCCCCCCAGGGGCCGAAAAACCTAGGACTAGCCTAGTTTGCAAAAGTAGGCTTTTCAAAAAAATCCAAAATACCCGAAAATTGCGACGACCAAATCCGAGGCATACGTTTTGTCTGTCGTGAGCCAAAGATTCTAACGATATAAGACACTTGAGCCTGCAAATAACGGCTTAGGAGTTATGAGCGATTTCATACTTTTGAGTGCTGTAGTAGAGTGCTGTACTACCCTCCCTCCAAGTTTCAATTCTCTACAACTAATGGTCTGGTCTGCCCGATCAGTTTTATGTGGAGATTGCTGATCCTTGGTCATTCTAACATTTGCAATAGGGTTTCAGCTCTACGTGCATGAACCCCTAATAATAAAACAGAAATGACTGTTCTCAAACAAAGAGAAATGTGAATTACTTGAAACGGCATAAAAACACGTTACACCAACAAAATTTCCGCAAGTGTTGTCCTAACTAGTCGAGTTAACTGAAATGTTAAGGGTTTGTGAATTCACAGAATGCATTTCATAATAAATGATGCTGTTACAGTTATAGGATTATTGTTCTGTTGTTTACTGACTTTTTCTTGTCTTTCAGTTGAGCCTTCAGGTTCAGTGTTCTTTATATTTGTGTGGTACTGCATTTTCTGCAGTAGCACTTAGCTGAATGAGTTAACTTGAAAGAAAATCAGTTAAATGAGGATTATGGGATATTAGACTGTTTATTGGACCAACACATTATTGTTCAGGAAATTTTTCAGCTCAAGGTACCGGCTGCCACTGATCTGAAAATTAGCTGTGTTCAGTCTTTTGATTCAGAAACCATTTTACCTTTTTTTGTATTCTGATGCTTGAATGTGTCTCAGCTTTTCTTTCATGTGTGGACTCCATGTGGCCATTGGTTTGGACTGTCGCTCATTCTGGGCTTTAAGAAGAGTAAAAGCTCATTGATCTCAAAATTCCTCCCTAATCCGTGTGTTATCGTTACACTGAATGATTATAGCGCCAGAAAAAATAAAACTATATGTGGTGAAGCCCCTTTAGGGGGTAAAACACAACATGAAAAATGAGTTCAACTTGACTTCAACAAGTTCCTTAATCACCTGTAAATCCAACTCTTACAGTGAGGTATGTCATTGTGGCGGTTAATGAGACAGACTCTGCCTGTTTTGGAGCCCAGAAAGGCCTTTGGGCGTCAGAAAGTGGTGGGGACAGTGGTGCAGTTAGTGGGGAGGGTGCGTCTGAAGTTGTCATGGCAACCAGATACATTCCATGCGGATTTCCTACAAAGGTTGCTTCAAGCACAGAAATATACAGGTGAAGCCTCATTTATACTGATGTACATATTAGGATACTAGCTTATCAGTGTCAGTTCTTAACTGGTCATGCTGGTTCAAGCAGGGACTTTGAGCAGGGTAAACAGAAACAGAAGCACCTAGGATCCGAGCAGCTGAGTCCTTAACCATCTTCAAGAAACGACTAAAAACACATCTGTTCCACCTTTATTTGACCCTCTAACTTTAACACTTTCTATTCTATTTTAATTCTATTTTATCTATATTTATCTTCTTTTTTATTTATTTTTTTTATTAATTCATTTGTAAGTCGCTTTGGATAAAAGAGTCTGCTAAATGACTAAATGTAAATGTAAATGTAAATGTGCTAGTCTCATTGACCTCACAAGGCTTTTTTTTTTTTGCCATTGTTTATGGTAAAATGTGAATCAGTCATGCAAACTGCTCTTGTGGACTAACTGTGGAGTGTGTTATTCTACTACTTTTCTACTTCTCATCCATGTCCCAAAACAGAATATCATTTAGCTTACACATATACTCTATGGATGTGAGTTAAAGAAACACATTTTATATTTGTATGTGTCTGTAAATGTATCAATGCTTTTTTTCTGTTGGATTACAGGAAGCAATACAGAGGCTTAAGAGAACATCTGGCCAGATTTACACTCTTGCTGTGGAGCTCAAGATGAGTAGACCAGCTCTCACTGCTGTCTTTGTAGGTAGGTAGGTTTGTTTGTTTGTAAATAAATAAATAAATAAATACATGTTTTTTGTTTGTTTTATTCACTTTGATTCATATTTAAGGTCCAATTTTCGCTATTTGCTCAATAAACTCCTAATTTGCTGCTTATTAATAGTTAGTAATATAGTTGTTAAGTTTAGGTATTGGGTATACATTAGCTCTGTGATCTTGTCATTCACTCACTTGTGAATTAATGCAGGTTTTTATTGCATTTGTACCTGCTCAAGCAGTTGTTTACCCCTCTATCCGTTGTTTACAAATAGTCCACATGAAGATTATGTTGTGTCGTAACTTGCATTTGTATTATGTTCTGTATGATCTATGTTCCTAGCATTTCTGCTGACTTCCAGTGGAGCAAAGCCCAATGGCAAGAACAAAAAGCCAAAACAAGGTAGCTGCAATAATTATGCTGATTGTAATATGCATGTTTGAGACATTTTCCACTACATTATGTTCTTCTGACATTGCCTTTGCTTTTCCAGTTGTGCCAGCAATAGAATGTGATATGCGGGCTGGGAAGATCAGTCTCCCAGAGTTTATTGTTAAGTGTCCAGCTAACTGCAGGGAGACCAAGGAGAAAGTGTATGGGACGGGTGTATTTGCCTCCATATCCAGTATCTGCAATGCTGCCATTCACAGGTGAGCTCAAACATTTTGCAGTCTGTGAGACCCAGTGTTCACCTGGTGTTAATGTATGATGAGTATTAGGAAAAATGACAATTACTATGCAAAATCTTGAATTCCCTAGATGAAATCAGAAGTTGTTAACTAATTGAAAAGAAACTGAGACAAACTTTGCACAAATTTGCAAAAATGTGCATCAAACTCAAAAATTGTTACCCCACATGAATCCAGCTCTTGCAACTGCGGAGGTTCTTGCAACTCTAGTAGTTGTTGGAGTGCAACAAGCAGCTTTATCAGAGATTTTTCAGAACATTTCAGTGGTCAGAGAGAATGGGAATCCTGTATATGAGGCTATGGATCTACCTCAGGAAGGGAGAAGATGTCTTTAGAAATCTTTCACAGCCTTCCATGCTTTGTGAGCGTCTGATCGTCAGTCATCTGTTTCATGGTTGTTAAGTGTAATCACAACATGCTGAGAGGCTTTAGAGAGTAAGAGAATTTAGATGAAGGCTTTAATGGTCAAGTTCTGACCCTATAAAACTTGATAAATGATCAGAATAACACGGGTGGATGAAAGGGAAATCTGCACAAAATGTGCGCACCTCCTCAACAAATAATGTTGGCTGGGGAGGTTGTGTTAGTTTATCAATTGCTGTGGTGTATCAGTCAGTGCACATGTGGGAGATGTTGGCTGTTGGGTATCTGGTCTGCATCATATCCTAGATCTCTCTCTCTCCATGATCTCCTGTTCCTCTAATAATTTGGTCAGAATTGGCCAACATTTCACACAGCAGTATGCAGCCAGTAAAAGGCAGATGGCATGCATTTTCTTTGGATTATTTTCTTATTTCATACACCGTGCTCAGAAGTGATCAAGCCCTTTTTGCCATTGGATCTCAGTCAAATTTAAGTTACATATCTCAGCTTAATTGATTCAGCCAATGCACAGCATATAGCATTCTTACTTATTTCTAGCATTTTTTACTCAGTATTCACTCTAAGCTACTAAAGCTACCCAAATCACTACAGATCTCGTAGGTAAATACATCTCACATGCATGGTGTTTTTGCTGTTATTTTGTTGTCAGTGGAGCCATCACTAACTCTGGAGGAAAGGTAATTGTGATGAAGATGGCAGGACAGGCGATCTACAAGGGTAGCTTTGCCAACGGTGTCCGCTCTCTGTCCTTACCCAACTGGAGAGAATCCTTTTCTGTCTCAGGTAGTGTAGACCTTACCCTGAACATACACTGTTGGAAAACAACTACATCTATTTGCAAACAGGCTCCGTATAGCATTGAAAAATTGAGAAATATGCCAACACAATATTAAGACACAGTAATTTCATATGAGATGTACTTTAGATGTAAACTGAGATGTAAATATAGGATTTATATTTATGTGTCAGTGGGTAAACCAAAGAAGGGGGTGATCTACGCATCCACTCTGGTCTTTGTACCATCAAGATCCACCACAGTGAAACCAGGTAAGCGGTTTTAGCCAGCAAGTAATGCTCATATAAGTGTTTTTATGTCATTAAGCCTTTCCTCTAATTCGAACAGTAATGCATGGAGCTAGCAGTGCCAAGATCATGGGTTCGATTCCCAGGGAATGCATAATAGCTAAAAGCAAGTAGTAGGATACAAGGATGAAAGCATCTCCCAAATACATACATGTAAATGTTGCGCTCATAAATTGGGGTTAATGTAGTATGTGGGGCATGGGGTGATATGTAAATATTGTGTAATGAAAAAAAAGAGTTAAAATAAAAGAACCATTGGTAAATAATGAATGAATATTTGCATTTCCTTAAGTAAAATCATTGCCTTTAAAGCAGCTAAATAATAGTTTATTTATTTATTTACTTATTTTGTCAAATGGTGCATGAAATTCTGAGTAGACAAAGAGATCTAGCTAATATGAGAACAAGATCCCTGGCAGTTAGATTCTACCAGTGTAGCTCAAACTTCCAATCTTTGATCTTCTAAAAACAAAAAGTGGAAAGCATGTCTAAGGAGGTCCCATCTGTGGATCCATGTTCACAATCTTCCAGATTGTCACTGTCCAGTAGCAGCTCATCATCCATTCATGTTTTCCTAAAATGATCCCAAAGACCCGTCGTACTCCACAGTGTCACCAGCGACAGAGCCGAGCTCCACTGCAGCCCTGCCCACAACCACTCATGTGACCACACCCATCGCCACAGCCCCACCCATTACCACATCAGCCATGCCACGGGTCACTGTTAGTAAAGTCCGCGAGGCAGGTGAGACAGTCTTTTATATATCTGATGCCTTAATTAATTGAAAGAATCATAGTTTATAATAGTAAAATCAATGCCATGCTTTTTATCCATTTGTTCTTGGGTCAGTTTTTCAGTATTCTATTGAAATGAGCATCCTGTCTGGACGATATGGATCAGGTTCCCTCTCTATCCGTCCTCTTTCCTTTCTCTGTTTCTAAAGCAACCTCTTTCTTTCTGATCTAGGCAGCAGTTACCCATATTTCAGCTCTGTTGCACGTAAGTCAAGCAGGCATGTTGAAGCCTCCCTCACGTGGCATGTGTGTTCTTGTGGCTGCTGTCTGCTGTCATATAATATTATTCAGGGCCCTCTGGGTGTGTTTTTAGTGGTTTACAGAACTAATGGTCTTTTGCAGTTTTCCTTTGGTTCTTTGTTTTTGTAGCATCCGTCTGTGTTTTTGGGGTGTTTGATGGTGTTGGCCTGTGAATCCCTTGTTTTAGTCTAATTCATTTTAAAGTCAGCATGAAACAGCATTTTACTTCCACACTATGATGTATTTCTGAGTAACAAAGATATTCAATGAAAATAAAATTGTAAGGTGACAATTGTAAACTGGTTGGAGCAAAGGTTGGTTCAAAGGTAGAATATATTACCATATTTTGATGAAGGTTTAAGAATTTTAATTAATGAATTTATTTATTTTTTCATTTTTTAGAATAACATTCACTGATGAGTCCTGCATAGTAAGACCAGGATTTTATGTTGACTTTAAGGTTGCTGTTACAGCTGAAAAAGAAACAGAATATATCTAGTGCTTCAATATTTGTTTTCTCTAAATACTGCATGTAGGACAGTCACAGAGCGCCCAAGGAAAGGGTCCTACACAAGGTATGTTTTACTTTGACACTGTCTGTAGTCCTCACTTCCTCTGTCAGTAACACAAGCTCTAAACTCTAACCATTACATTTGTCTAAAGCATTTAGAGGCAGCTCCGTCTATGCCAATAGGTTTTCACCTCGCACAAACACAGGTAAACCACACTCCTATTACTCTGACTGTGTGTCCTGTCTTGTGATGCTTGCCTGTTGTGTTTAAGGTTTGTTGTACTCTAGTACTTTTTAAAAGTGAACAGGTATAAGGTTTTGCTGGTGATTGTTTGTGTCCTCCTGAACTAGATGAGTGGTGTTGACCTCACTTGCTGTTTTCCTCCATTATTCCTAGCTATTCCTCTCTTGTATGTGTTTGTTTCTTCAATCCAAATATAAAACTGTTTCAAAATCTGTATATGTCACACTTCCTTCTGCCAGCTGGTGGCGCTATGACTGTGAACCACAATAGCCACATTCATCCAACACCAATTTGATCTAAATCAGAGATTTTCATTACTCTGTGATTATTTACCTGAGTCCTCACTAGAAACTCTTACCCGTGGATTGTCCTGTCTTTTGTCTTCGTCTGTCTTCATGGTTACCTGTTGCACTATCCTGCACCTGCAAGATAGAAAGGCTATTACCATCTAAGCTAAGTTTGATGAAATTCTCTGAACTCATTGACTTACCTGTTGACATCGCTTGTTTCACACATTACCTGTAAATCAACCTCTGTTGTGGAAATTACCTCAGTGTATCCTCCTCTGTTGGTGACGATATAATTCCTGTTTTCCACAATTAATAGTTGAAGACAAGGAGCACATACAACTATCCCCAAAGACAGAACATGCTGTTTTGCATATACGAAAGGCACAGTTCTTAGTATATCACGTTGGTAGATCAGCTCAGACTTTCCATGTGGCTTGTCTTGAATGTGTTTGTATTTTGACAGCAGGTGTGCACAGGCCAGAGACGGGCATCACGATCCGAAGACAGCCGCATGTTTCCTCAGCTTCAGGTTCGCATGACTCATTCATTCAATTCAGACATCATTCTGTAGCAGCTGCGATGCAGGCATGAGCTTTTGCTTTCTTCTCTCTTGGATATTTTTACATCTGTTTAACATTGTTAAGCAGTTTTCAGTCGGGTACAGCCGCAGTCTGAGAGGAAGCAGCACACGGCGCAGTCTAATCCCAGTAAGTAACTGCAGATGTCTTTGCATGTGTGCTGATACATATCAAACAACACAATTGAAAGTCCAATGCTCTTTTTGATTAGAGGGATCGGGTAAAGCTTTGTCTGAAATTAGCACCTTTAGACATAGCAAGGCTCCCTAGTAAACATGCCCAAATCATACTTGACAATAAATAAATATCGAGTACATCTTGGTTATATTTACTTACAGCTTTACCAGCTTACTAGAGTGACATCATGTAAGTTAAAGGCTAGTTATAAATTAGATACTAAGTGTAAGGCAACTTAGATGAGTGACTACACCATGCACTAGCATACTGTCATTTGGCATGAACAAGGCTCTTATGCTCCTCACGGATTCTTGAAACTTATCTCAGACACAAAATATCCAGTGCTTTAATACAACAGTTCAATAAACAGGTCGTTGTTTAAATCGTTTTTTAGACACAATATTGCCACTTACTTTGTCTAATTATGCTCCACTGCCAATTAAACCAATACTGTCAAACAAAGTTAAAGCTGAATCGACAGTTGTGTCTCTGAGCAACACACAGTTGTGGTGTTTATTTCTGAATAATTCCATGTTTTTGAACAAATCGATTAAGTGAATAATTCAATGACTCACTCACCTGCAGAAAGAATCACTGTAAAATCCCCTGACTGATGCACAGACTGACAGTAAGCGGAGTGATACAAACAGTGAAAAGTCCCAGTGCTGCAGGACTAAATAGCAGTGCTTTTGGAATTGCGTTAAACCAGTCTAATTTGTTCTGAACACACATATACCAGTTCCTTATTTTACTGATCTCTCACTTTTAAAACCTCATGTCTTCAGACCATACCTCAACAATTTTTGTCACTTTTTGTGAGTTACTTTTATTTTAATTACATGAAATTAGCAGCTAGCAAAATCAGAAAAAAAAATAAAATAAAATGGCTACTCCCATTAATGCTTGTGTGATATATAAAGTGATTATTTTATCAAAACTGTCTGACTGGAGTTGACCTGACAGAACACACTGTTTTTCTTGAATCTGAGGGTGAATTATATTGTCACAGGCTGTCCAGTATAAAGCACCATGACGAAGGAGTAGAGTCCAAGAAAGTCATTTTAATAAATCCACAGGGAGAACAGAACAACCACATAGATAAAATACAATATCAGACCCTGAACTGAGGAAGACACAGGGTTTAATGGGGAAGGTAGTCAGGAAGAATTGAAACAGGTGTGGAGCAATTGATAACTAAGGAAACAAACTAGTGGAGGGAAAAACTTTACAAAGGAAACAAAACTAAATATAAATGTGACATTACTCCCCCCTCCTGGAAGGTGTGTCCTCGTGCCGTGGACTAGACAGAAGGAGGATGAGGGGCAGACGAAGGGCAGGCAAAAGGGAAAGGACACAGTCCATAGAGCCAGGGCAGAGTAAACAGTGGAAGGAGCCAGGAGCAGGAGGAGGAGGAGCCATGTGGAGATCCAGAACGCAGCCAGGACAGAGGCCCACAGTGGAGTCACTGGAGGGAGGAGCCATGGTGGTGGTAGGGCTGGCGACACCAGGGGGCTGACTGACGGAAAAGGAGCCCAGGATGGAGATGGAGAGCCGCAGAGCCAGGGTGACAACGAGGTTCCGGAGGGCCAAGGCGGCGCAGACGGCTCAGGCGACCGAGGCAGAGGCGGGGATCCGGTAGACCACGGTGGAGCCGGAGCAACAGAGGCCAAATCTGAGCCGGAGGGAAGGATGAGCCAGATGGAGACAGAGGGATGGAGGGACAAGGCGAAGCCGGAGGAGTGGAATGGACAGAGGTGGAGTCCGAGACTCTGAGGCTGGAGGCAGAGACAGGGGATCCTCACACCTAGGCAGAGCTGGAGACTGGAAGGCCGAGGCGAATCAGAGCACCCAGATAGCGCTGACTGAGGGTGAGCTGAGGGACTGACAGGAACCAGCGGAGACAGGGCTGAGGAACTGGCTGGTTTTAGGAGAGGAGGACGGAGAGGGAGGCTGGGAGGGAACAGGAGAAAAGTAGCTGGGCAGAATCAGCATAATTGAGGCTCAGGCTCCTGGGCGATGATCCGCTCAGGAGTGGGGGAAATTCTCCTTGGGACCGTCCACTGGCAGGCGTGCCTTACACCGCTCGTTCAAACTGGTGTAATAAAAAATCGCAAAGTGAGTGGTCAGGGAAGTGAGTAAGGCGCGCCAAATCTAAAAAGTCTGTAGTATAGTCCGCCAGTGAACGGTCAATCTGCTCCAGGCAGAGAAGTTGGACGGCTGGTAAATCCATTTCGACGGGGAGAGGAAAAAAACAAAAAACATAAGGGTCTGCTATTCTGTCACGTGCTATCCAGTATAAAGCGCACAACGAATGAGTCCAAGAAAGTAATTTTAATAAATCCACAGGGAGAACAGAACAACCACATAGGTACAAAACAATAGCAGACCCTGAACTGAGGAAGACACAGGGTTTAAATACATGGGGAAGGTAATCAGGAAGAACTGAAACAGGTGTGGAGCAATTGGTAACTAAGGAAACAAAACTATGGAGCGAAAACTATGAAAAAAGGAAACAGAACTAAATATACACGTGACAGATATATTGAATGACAGACACATATAAAGCATGGGAACATGGAAGAATCAATGGAATTCACCAAAATATAAACCTAAACATGATTAATAGATTAATATAAAATATTTCCTTGCTATATATACGTTACTTTGTTCTAAAGTCTCAGTTCTAAAAGTCCATTTGATGTAAAGTATTGTAAATAGTTTCTCAATCTCCCTATTTAGCATTTGCAAGAAGAGATTGGCCGCACCCTGCATACGCACGACCTGATGGGTTCTCTGGCACCAGAAGACCAACAGGTATCATAATCATTATGCAGGTCTCATCGTCCAGTTCAATAACATGACCCCTCATAAGTGAGCAATAAAGCAGACATAAACGTAGACTAAATATTCTTTTAATTATTTAAAATTATTTAATTTTAATTATTCTTTTCCAAGTGAATATCCATAAACACATAATAATTAATGCTAATCAAAATCTGACCTGAGACCCTACCCTCACTTTCTGTGTTCAGATAGTAGCCACTCTATGCCAAACACAGGCTATAAATGGAGCAGATTGAGTACTGGTGATCCCGCAGGTAAGGGTTTCATGTACTGTTGTTATATGTCCACGGTAGTACCAGAGGAGAATAAAAAGAAACCCATACAACTGAATTATGGCTTCATAGTATGCATAGCACATGTCTGTTTTTGATATCACCATAGCATCAAATCAATGTACACAGGTTCCTACAATATCTGCTACTCGTTTTCACACTGCGCTTATTCCTTTATGCGGTTTAAATAGGCCATCCCACTAGCTTTCAAGTTAGTATCAAAGTCCATGCCAATGTGCAACCCATATGATATCAAAAACTCAAAATCAATTCAGAGCACCATGTGTTTCTGCTGTAGCTGGAGCTTTATGACTAACTTCTTCATCAATGTCAGAGAATAGGTGGTAAGCTACAGGTTTTGTACTCTTCTTTACAGCCTTTGATTGGTCAGGGTTTTTTTTTTTTCTTTCTTTCTTTCTTTTTTTTTTGCTGACGCATTCACACGGGCATTATGGGTATATTTTCCATAATGCACTATGCTGATCTAACTGTTCCTGCAAATGCTGCCTCTATTCTGCAGTTCTTGACCCAAGGCCTGATAACACTGAGTATGAGCACTGGCTGTATAACTCTGGACAGTATCGTAAGTATTTTCATTTCATTTTGGAATAATACATTTATGGGGCAATCACCAAAAAGAGTATCTGTACTCATTTAGTACATGCTATAATACAAATCATGCCTGGATTAATGAGAAAAAAATTAAGCATTTGTCAGGCCCCCATCTTTACTGTATATTTTTCAAAACATCACGCCGTGAAATCGGGAGTTGTGGGCACACCTCCAGTGAATATGTTACTGGTTGTGTAACTGTAGTGAGGAGGGGTCAGCATCTCTGTGAGTCACTGTGTCTTTGTGAAAACAGAGGCCTGATTCGTGAGTACATGATTTCTGTTTTCAGCTCCTGAGCCAGAAGACCACAAGCCTCCATCTGAGACGAGGCACACCAGAGGTGTGTCAAAGGCACAAGCACATTTGTATATGAAAGCCCACAGTTTCCTCACAGTGCACAATACTGCTATATAGCCCTGCTTCAGAAACTATGACTGAATACAGGATGTTTTTTTTTTTTTTTATGATTGCATGATGTATATTATTTAGTTTGTGATTACTGTCACAGAGTCGCTTGCTGGGTTTGATCCAGAGATTGAGTACTCTTTCAGAAAATATGTAATAGCACCTCCTACCATAAAACGGCAAAAACACGGAAGCCAGAAAATTCTGTCAATGGCCGGTAAAGTGTTAATAAAGACTTATTTTCTTGTGGTTCCTTGCACAATACTATGTTATGACCTCAACATGCTATTACCATGAAAATTGGTATCATGAAAATTGCATGTTATTTTTTATTTAGTACTGTCTTGAATAAGCTATTTCACATAACAGATGCGTATATATACTCCACAAGACAAAATAATAACTGAATTTATAAAAATGACCCCGTTCAAAAGTTTACATAAATTTTAATATTGTGTCATTTCCTGGACTGTTTTTTGTTTTGTGATAGTTGTTCATGAGTCCCTTGTTTGTCCTGAATAGTTCAACTGCCTGCTGTTCTTCAGAAAAATCCTCCAGCTCCTGCACATTCTTTGGTTTTCCAGCATCTTCTGTATATCTGAAACCTTTCCAACAATGACTGTATGATTTTGAGATCCATCTTTTCAAACTGAGGAAAACATTTACATTTCATTCAACATTTACTGATGCTCAAGAAGGCAACACGATGCATTAAGAGCTGGAGGGTGTAAACTTTTTGAATTGGATGATCAGGGTAAATTGTCCTTATTTTGTCTTCTGGGAAACATGTATGTATTTATGTAGCTTCTGAAGTGCAGTACTAAATGAAAAAAAAATATGATCTTTAATCAAAATAAGAAAAATGTACACATCATCATCCTGCTTTATTACATGTTTATTACATGGTTTGCAATCAAAAGTGAAGTAACTTGATCAGCAAAATCCAGTACCAGGGTCTTATAGCCTTTCCCCCATTAAAGCCCTTTTTTTCAGTTATATAGGCTAATAATTTTATTTTAAATTTGGACTTGATAATATATGGTCATACAAATAGTTCTTTAATGTACTATAGATAAGGTACAGGATTTTCCTGACATGTCATTGTAACATCCTCTCATCTCTCAGGTTTCAGCGCACGAGGGCACGACTGAACATTCCTTCATGCTCCTTCAAAACTGTCACTGATTATGAGACTATTATTCACTTCCTTTCATGACTCTCATTTTATTCTCATCTTGTCTTTGTAGACTGTAAAGTTGATATTGCATTCCTCGTGGATGGCAGCTGGAGCATTGGGAAACGCCGTTTTAAGATTCAGAAAGACTTCCTTGTGGAAGTTTCTCAGGTCATTAATGTGGGTGTTGCTGGACCCATGATGGGCATCATTCAATACGGGTAATAGTGTGTCCCAGTGCCAGAAAACACTCAAATACTAATAAGAACAAGTGAGGGACTGTCACATAAAACCAACATTATAGTTTTGGTAGATATTCATATGTAAAATTTGGTTTTAGCATACATACATTTTCACTCATTTGGATAGCCACTGAAACATAGCGTATCAATATACTGACATTGTCTAAAATGAAAACACATTTACACAAGAACATCACATGTGTATACATGTGTATGAATCCTTCGGTGTTCATACAATTTTGAATTTAAGGAACTTATAGCATGATTTAATTTAGATATATTATTCAATGAACTCAGTCATCTATAGTGGCACATTTGCACATATCTAAATTAAGCTCCATGCTTTATAATTACATTCATATTATGCATTTTAGTATGTACCCAACGTACCAAAACATACATGTACACGTAGATCACCCTGATATAACGTGTCAACATTTCATTTCTGATCCAGGGATGATCCAGTCACAGAATTCAGTCTAAAACAATTCTCCAGCTCCAAGGATCTGAAGCCTGCCATCAGCAAAATAGTCCAGAAGGGCGGTCTGTCCAATGTAGGTGAGTGAATAACCCTGGACTATACCCTAAAGGCCAAAGAGTAGAAGTCGTCACATGGTGTCACTGAATTTCACCCTGTTTGCACATCTCAGTTCCAAATTAGATCTAAATCTGAGCTGGCAACTGTGGCTAAATTACAGGGCTGGTGCCACTCTGTGGTGTTGTTGTGCAAGCTGACCAAATGCCTGAGGTTTATCCAACCTAGAGATTACTTTTCACATTGGTTGTATGGTTTGTGTTATAGATAGTGTCTCACTTTAATATAACAGTGGAATCCTGTAAAAAAGCAGCTGCCCTCTCTAGCAGAGCTATAAAGTCAAAGATAGCCTGAGGACACAACATTATCTGGTTGGATGATGTTTAATCAGTACCGTAGCACTTCATCTTCTGTATATGATTTACACAAACCTGTTTGTTTGGACTCTGAAATCCCTGAGGGCTGGAGTGACCCCAAAAACTACGTGGGCACTAAAGACATGCACAATATCTGACTTGATACATCCACTAAAAATCACCAAAACACTGGCTGATTAAAATACATTAAGCATAAATGATAGTGAAAAGTGAACGTTAGTAAAGAGACACTTAAAGAGACAGACACTTGATCTAAAAGCTGGAAGATACTACATGATTTTTTAAAACACTAGACATCATACATTTGCTGGCTTTTGTAAAAGGTTAGAGAGGGGGAAAAAAACGAAAAATTCATACACTAAACAATCTTTATCCATCATATACTACATAATTTTACCTGAAATCAGTCAACTTTGACTGACCAAAGTCTGCAGATTGACTCCAAATTTCAGTAACCAGCATTGACTCGTGCAGACTGTAAAACGGGGCAAAAATCTGGGCAAAAGTCATGTAAGTTTTAGCAACCTTAATGCAGCAACATTCAGAAGGTTTTAGGTGTGCCTTACATTCCCCAGTACTCATTTGGGTCCATTTCATGTGGCATTTCAATTACTACGGACATTTAAAAGTGGTGGAAACAAAGATAAAGAGACGCTTTGCATTTTTAGTAACTGCTGCATTGATAGTTTTCAGCAGTGGTGTGCTGCACTCTTGCCTTTTCCTGAAGTCCTGGAAGCATTTAAGGAAAGCATTTCAGGGCAGAGACTGGACCCGAAACAGTGCTGCAATTGAAACAGCAGAGAGTGTTTTCAGGGAGGAAGGCTGATGGAACTGTAACTGTTTTGTTCTGACTCTGGCTCTGTGGTCCTTTAAGGGAAGGCCCTCTCCTACATCAACAAGCATTTCTTCAGTGATGCTAATGGGAACAGAGGTGGGGCGCCCAATGTGGCTGTGGTTCTGGTGGACGGCTGGCCCACTGACAAAGTGGAGGAGGCCTCACGTCTGGCCAGAGAGTCAGGCATCAACATCTTCTTTGTCACCATCGAGGGCCCAGATGAGAATGAAAAACAGAACGTGATGGAGACCAACTTTGTTGACAAGGTATCAATATTGATTAAGGTGGGGTGTACACATACCGGAATTTCATGGCAATTTGGGGACACAGAGGGAACTTTATTTCTTGTTTTGGTCTGTAGGCAGTGTGCAGAACCAATGGTTTCTTCTCGCTCTCTATCTCAAGCTGGTTCGCCTTGCGCAAAGAAGTGCAGTCTCTGGTGAAGCGCGTGTGCGACACAGACCGCCTGGTGTGCAGTAAGACCTGCCTTAATGCCAACGACATTGCCTTCGTCATCGACGGCTCCAGCAGCGTGGGAACCGGAAACTTCCGCACCGTGCTCCAGTTCGTCGCAAACGTGACGCAGGAATTTGAGATCTCGGACACGGATACGCGCGTAGGAATCATACAGTACACGTATGAGCAGAGGCTTGAGTTTGCTTTTGGTCAACACAACAACAAAGCTGATCTGCTGAACGCTATCAAGCATATAAACTACTGGAGCGGAGGTACCAGCACGGGAGCCGCCATCACATATGCTGCAGATCAACTGTTCAGCAAATCCAAACCCAACAAGCGCAAGATCATGATTGTCATCACGGACGGACGCTCCTACGATGACGTGAGGGCCCCGGCGCTGGCGGTACATCGTAAAGGTGAGTGCGGTGGAACGCAGTAGGTCCCTAGGTCAGCACCTGTGGTCGTTTCTGGAGCAGTCAGTGACTGCTCTATAGGAATGTTGTTCCAGGATGTAGATCCAGAAACATGAGTAAATCACATTAAACGGCAGAATACACCGTAGCTAGAAATTCAATGATAAAACTACCTCTTTTAGAGGATGTATTTATGGTGTCTGTAGTGTCTACAGATGTGATGGAAGTTGACTTCCAGACCAGCGCTACCTACATTTTTGAAGTATTGTACTCTCCCGTATCTCATGCACCAGGTGTGATCGCGTACTCCATTGGTATAGCCTGGGCCATACAGGACGATCTGGAATACATCGCCACCGACCCCGACAGAGACCACTCTTTCTTTATGGATGAGTTTGACAACCTCTACAAGTATATATATATAGTAATAATTTCTTTGTTTATAGCTAATTTTCTGCACAAGAAGATGTCAACCAAAATTTAGCATTTGTTCAGGAGACATGTACATGCTAATTTCAAGCTAGGATTGTTAATGCATGCTAAAACAGACTGGTGTTACTGTAATTTACAAGATATTTTTCAAGGCACAGAGGTGACCAGTAGTGGAGTATTATGAGCGTTTTGACAAAGATTATTCACAACATCTGCAATGAGTTCAACTCCCAACCACGTAACTGAACCAGGCCTACAGATGAAAATTGTGGAATATCACCAAAAATCCAAGGAGTAAGTGCATTACCACACAGTTAGAAATACAGTGTTACAAATTTAGCATACTGTAGTTAGAAGCCTTACTTTCTGGATGAAAGCTCAGAGGACGCCAGCATGTTTCCAGATTTGATTTTTGTGCAATTTAAACAAAATAAAGTGTGGAAATGGTAAAGACGGCAGTGGATGTGTTTTCGGTGATTTTGGATTAATATGTGATGTGACAGATTTTCTGATGTGCACATCAATAGAGGTATAGAGAAAAAACTTGCTTACTTGCTTGCATATGTTGTTTCAGTTAAAGATTATTTATAGTTACATGCTGAACACAATAATAGAGAAAAAAAATACACTATATACTAATTTTCTGCACAAGAAGATGTCAACCAAAATTTAGCATTTGTTCAGGAGACATGTACATGCTAATTTCAAGCTAGGATTGTTAATGCATGCTAAAACAGACTGGTGTTACTGTAATTTACAAGATATTTTTCAAGGCACAGAGGTGACCAGTAGTGGAGTATTATGAGCGTTTTGACAACACGTTACAGAGAATACAAGTACATTTAATAAAGAATGGCAATATTCCAGAAGCTCCTGTTTTGTGGTTTTATGACTCCTAACCGTTCTAACAGAATGGTTTATTTTTTCTTGTCAATTTAAATTCATATAATGTAATTTTTGTATTTGTATATATATTAAAAAAATTGCTTGTATTTTTGTCAACTGATCAAATATTTTAATGCAGTTTTTAATAAAATTATTATTGAAAACCAGCAAATTTACGGTTTTGGATTGAAATGTACACTGTCTGGGAGAAAATATATTTTATCAACTTTATTTATTTATATATGTATGTATTTATTTGTTTGTTTGTTTATTTAATTAATTAATTAATTTTATTTTACATTCCAGGCACACATGATAAGCAGATTTATATGCTGTGATAAAACACACACACACACACACACACACACACACACTCACACA